TTGTAGTTTTCAGTGCACATAAAATAAAACCGTTTAACTTTAAAGTTTTTAAACGGTTTTATTTATGTTTATATTTTACTTCTTCGATACGAAAATCTAACAATTTCAGTCCCAACAATTTCGCTTGATAATTAATGCTTTTCAAAAACGGTGTACAATAATTATTTCTTTAGACATTTTGATCTACTTTTCATAAAAGTTAAAGTTGAAAGACTGATCATTATTATACTAATGTTTTTGTTGTTTTTAGTTTCACAATAAGGAGATTTTAATATATATTAAGTATACTAATTTCTTTACAATTTTTACGCAGGGCCATCTATCTCTCTTCCCCACAGTTCCACCAGCATTCGCGAAGGTTTGCTAACTTCGTGATCTGAATCTGAGTGCAGACTATTTTGTTGCCTTCAAATTGTAATTAAGTATTTAGTTTTTAGTATTAAAACTTTTACGAGTAAAAACCGCGGAGCTAAACAAAATACGTCATTTTGTGACAACTATCGACAATTCAATCCAAATATATAATTTATTATGTAAATATATATGTATCTATTGTATTTTGTTTTATATGTACCAAATAAATATTTCTGTCATTCTTTAATATACTTTAGGGTAAGACCCTTAATATTTAAAGCGCAGCCATAAAAATGATAATTTGTCGTGTACATCCTATTTCCGGTGTATACGGTGGGACTGTTGACTTTGATTTTAGTGCGTACGTTGTGGAGTTGTGGCGGTCCAGTGGCCGTGATATTAGTTTACGACATACTGTTTCGAAGTTTGAATCCAATGCTTTGTCGATGACTTTCGTTCGCTTTTTCTAAAATCGAAAATTTTATAAATAAAAAATTTATATGAAAGTTCATATCATATAAAAAGTTATATCGTCTTCATTTTTATTAAGTCCTCGAGGCCATTTTAATTATTTTTCGTACACCATAATATATTTTTAACGCTACCTTATAAAGTACTCCTCCTCCACACAGCCACTGTCACTTCTACTGGTAGGGTGTCTAGACTATACTACATGTTTGCTACTTAAGAGCTTCATGAGATCAATAAGTTATGGTTAAATTAAACTATATTACAGATTTTATTACGTTTTACTTTCATTATAAAATTCCCGAACGTTTTTTTCCATTACATCGTTCATGATAACGGGAAATACAAAACAATAAGTTCTATTAATTTCACTATGAACTGCCCTTAGTTTTGGTCTTTTGCCAAAGTAGCCAGGCTTAGTGAGCGGGTTAACATCAACAGTTACAGGTGAATGAGGGGCGTAAGAAACGATATTCAGTAGGCCTGTGCTCCGGACCCTACTGTACAGATTGTAATGACGATTGATCAATTTATACCTAAATAAGTTTGTATAATTGTATCACAAAAAAGAGATAACAATACCGCAGAGTTTCTTGCCAGTTCTTCTCCGTTCAGGTCTAGTTTAGTGAACCGGTGGTAATGTTTTTATCGTTCAATAAGAGCTTAAATTAAGCCTATATTGAATACAGAAGTTTTGACTTTGTCTTTGGTTTGAGTTATGTTTAACATTTGTCCTGCGTCGTCGAGCTTTTGATATCGATACTGTAGAAAATAAAAAAACTGTGTGTTTTTTCTGGTGTAAAGCAGCAGGCAGGAATTATCTATCCACCCCATCAAGGACGGTCTTAAAAGCTTGTCAACATCATCCGATAACAGGCAAAAGATGTCAAGATATCAATCATGTCGAATATGACAAGCTTCTGTACTGAATTGGTGTATACCTGTAGATGTGTGACTGTAAATTTATACTTAATTTATACACTGACGATGCAACGCAAAATCGTGAGGAAACTCGCATTTTTCGTCTGTGTCTTGTGTGCAAAACCCTTCTTATTTACGGGATAATGTCGCCCTACATTTTGCCGTTAAAAATAAAAAAGGATAATCCAAATTTTCAGTCATACTTGATGGTAAGTCATCACCGCCAGGCACTTACAACATCAAGGGCTTGGGCTCTCTTCGTGAAGATCTCTAAGTTGTATCGGTCTGGATGTACGGATGGCGACAGCTGGTTTCACAAAGTGGCTGTTCGTGGCAGAAATGTTGTAAAAGCACAGTTAACGATGGCCACAATTGGTTTCATAATGTGGCTATGCGTGGTAGGAAATTACGCGAAAAACACACAGTCGTTGACGGACAACCATCGAGGTAGTTTCGATGGTAATAGGTGGTGTGGCGAGTTATTTGATGGTGAAACTGCAGCAGGTAAAACAGGAGTTGATATTGCGATGCCCGCAAATACTACTGAATGGATTTTAATGAAACTTTATAATAGTATAACTTTTACATCAGAATAAGACATAGGCTATAATTTATATACATATTTTATATATATCTGTCATTCTGTCTGAATCTTACGCATTCAGCCTACTCTACGCAGACGTAGTCGCGGGCAGGATTTTTGTTACTATGAAGTACGGTTTTAGTTTTCCACAGTTTAATACGGGAACGTCACGATTTTGTGCATAAATATCTTTACAGGTCACATAATGACTTGTATTCCTTTTTAAACCGACTACCTTTTTATTGCACGGTGATATTTTACACATAATATCTTTCTTATTGCTCGTGTCTTTGAACTTAGCTTCTGCATAAATGAAAAAAATTCCTTACTAGGCTCGCTGTTGCGTATACCTTTGGAATCGTATGCCGATAGGTAATAGTTCTATAATAGTTACGAGTCCCTCCGGCCCGCGTAGCCGGCTTCTAACGTCCAATATTTACGTTGGGACCACGGACCTAGACTCCGCACACTCGAACTCGTCGCGACCGCGTCGTCCGCCCGTCACACCGTCGCGTAACTTTGCCGCGCCGCAACATTTTGTCATATTCGCGCGAACGCTACCCGGCATTTAGAAGGTTAGTTTGTTGATAAGCCGTCCCAGGTATTCGAAAAGTAAGTCACTTAATCCCAACAAAATCGTTTCTTGATTTGTTTTATGCGAGAAGATGGAAAGCGAGCCGGCGATTCAAGAAAAAGCGATAAAGCTGTCAAAAAAGATTTCTTCAATAACAACCGTATAACCTCTACGGGGTTATAATTGTTATATTTAGGTTAATCTGTGTTATAAGAGTATTACTGTTAAATTAATAAATTAGACGCGTTACATTACGTTATCTAGATTCTGAATGCACAGCCCTCGGATCGTCCTCATTTTGACATTTGCATCGATCGAGTCAATATTTAAATAGCAATTTTTAAGTATGAATCAAGTACTACTTTATAAATTCTTTTCGCGGTTTCACTTTTTATTTTATCTGTGTATCTCTCGCGGTGACGATTATTTTGCGTTTATGATCATAGGGTGGACTAATATATGTGAACTGCTCATGCTAATTTTTAGAGGACAATCGCCAGCTTGAATAATATTAATTTAATACCGATCTTCGCAACAAATACTAACTGTATTTGAAGTCTTGCAGTGGTAGTGTGCTAGAGTCTATATATTCTATCCACTTACTCATTGGCTCAACATTGTTACATATTCTCAAAAATAAGGAAGCTACGATGCTTCATTATCAATATTTTCCTCAAAATAAGGAAGCTAGGATATATATCCACTTATTCCACACATCTTTAACTTATAGTTACAGAAAAATGACATAACATTATCACCCACACCTGTAACTAAAATAAGACTATTATACCTGTACTATATGTTATATTGTAAACTGATGTTTTTGAAAAAGAGCAACTGTTGAGTTTCTTGCCGGACTCTTCTCAACAGAAACCGCTTTCCGAACCGGTGGTACCTTACGAACTTATGTATTTATATTTTATGTAAAATTCGACGTTTCATAAGAATATTTTGAATTTGAATTTGGACTACATATCATCAATCAAACAACATCATCAATATTTTATGCAGCTATACAAGGAAAGATATTTGTTCAGAAGTGACCAGATTTCTCTACACTGCATAATTTTTACTTCCGACTTGTATAAGCTAAAGCATCTAATCTTATATTTTATCTAGCGCACACAACAAGATGTTAACTATTTTACTGTTACTGCAAATAGAAAATTTCTGGTTAGCCCACGAGTTCTGCGTTCAACGATGCTGACAGGTCGTGGACAAACACACAGAATGCAGAATGCAATGGCAACAAACAAAAAATACAGAATGAACCGTTTCGTTTAACATTAGCAGATAGAGAAGACGGAACATGATGCATAGTTCTGTGTGACAGGAGGCCGCAGCCGCTGTGTGCAGTGTACTTAGGCCGCACGCACACACGCGCGGGGTTACGTGAGCGGACATAATGGAGCGACGCACACAGCAAACCGCGGCCAACGTCCCTAACTCGGTTATACCGAGCGAACGATAGTTATGTTTTATTTATACTTTCTTAGCTCAGGGGATGCGGCGACATGGACGTATGTGAGAATTCGTCGCGCGCGTTTTCTTGTACAACTTCGGGTGACGGACTTTACCTTGTCGTTTCTATGCAATTTACGTGGGGATGGACGATGCCATAGATTAAATAGACTTGAAGTAGTGAGTTTTGTGGCCAAAGCTCACTTAAAATGACACGGATGATATTCCGAAACTCGAAAGATACGCTTAAAATGTGTTCAAATCAGGTGGAACATATAATAAAAGTAAAAAAGATATATAACGGTAAAACTTCCCATTCCTTAAGAGGAATTGTGTAATTTTCGTGCTCTATTATACGACAGTGAAATTTTATTTGAATCAAAGCTGACAAAACCCAACCGGTCAGAGAAGTTGGGTTTTATGTAAAAAAAAGTCATAGGTTAATGAGTGTTTCATTAGATTGTGGTTCAACGAAAGTTTTGAAAAGTAATTCGAAACAAAAGGCAATTCCAACAGTTCACGGGCATAAAGTTGGCATTGTTAGAGTACTACAGCTTTTCCGGGCAGTGTACTTAAAGTCGGCCCTTTTAAATCGCCATGAGAAGACGTATCACTCGTTCCTTTCTCCTTTCAAATTCACAGCGGCATTAGAGCCGCGTCTGTGTCACGTCTCCCGCCGTCTGTGTTTGCGCGCGCGCCTGTGTGCGTGACGCAGGTAACCGGGACCGCCGTCTGCGGCGCGGGAACCGCGGCGGCCATATTGGAACACGAATGTATTAGAATTTTTGCTCTTAGAAGAATCTTAGCGGTGAAAGTTCTCATTCGGATCGCGCTTCGGAGCTGCCGATGATGTAAAGATTTTCTTAGTCATCTGGACAGATCACGAGACCTGTGAATTAAAGTTGAGTTAATTTACGAAAATACGTTAACTAAAGTCAATTAATGCTCTATTGCCTATATACCAGTGGGGCATGCTCTAGTTTATGTAGAAAAAGAAAGGACATTTGTTATAGCTATATAATTTTAGTAATAATGACATTGGGCGTATCGTAAAATTTAAATATTACAAAATATTGAAGTCCTGAAGAGAAATATCAAATATTTGCCAATTATTGGACCCTATACATCACATGCGACTTTTTTCGGTAAGCTGGGCATCGGAAAAAACAAACTCCGCCGAAAATCTCGCAAGAAATTAATTATGGCGGGAAAAAAAAATAAGAAAGGGGTGCGCGCGCGGCGCTGCATTCACTGACGTAATTTCTCTGGCGACGACCGCGCCGGCGCAGTGGAGCTCGAGATCTCGCGCGTCCCGCACGCCGCGAGGGCCCACGGAGTACCCACATACCTCACCACTCACCACCAACTCACAACAGTCGGCATCGTGACACAGCCGGCCGTTGCCTCAAACGCGGCGACCGTGCACGATAACTTTTTGAAATTAAAAAAAAAAAACACCTCGCCAGCATTATCTGTATTTATACAAGACGAGCCTTAAATCTTTTATCATTTCCAACACATGTCACACACAACACGGTGTTGCACACATTCGTCCCAATTGACGCCGGTGCACATGTCACGCGGCGGCTCGCCGCCCGATCCGGAGGAAATTTGTGAGTTTTTTATTTCATGTTCAATTTTATTTCTCTTAGAATATCTAATTTTAACTCTTTCTCAGTTTATCAGTAAGAGGAAGGTTTCTCACATATTTTATTGTCTATGGTTTGATCTGTAAAATTCTTCCCGCCTTAATTGGATTCCTGTTAGATTTTATTTATCTCTTTAAATCCTTTTAAGCTTTTAAAATATTAAGTGGTAAATATAATATTTGTCTTTAGCATCTATAGTGTGTTTTGCTGTTTAAAAAGTTTAAGCAGATCTTTTATTCGAATATGTTGGTGCTTTTCTATATATATTAGATAAGAGAATCATATAAATAATATAATAACATTATTCATACAAGTAATATAATTAGATTTACAACATTTTTGACTTAAATGAATTTCTAGGACCACGTGGTCACGATAAGTATATTAGTATCTTGATCCAGACAACAGCTACATGGTTTATCGACTTCTTTTCAACGCAGCTTTATGGTTTTATCGTAGAGAAAACTTCGAATTTCCATAGCGGCTTCCATGTTGCAGTTGACGCGACCACGTCATCCGCGTCGCTGCGGTGCCTAACCTAGGCCAACATAGACGTATCGGAAGTTAAGGTCAATACACTCGGTCACGGCCGCGCACTTTCACGCCTCGAATTATTCTTGTTTAGACTGGGATGAGGAATTCTATCTCGCGCCGAGCGGCCGTTTTGAATAAAAGAGCCGGCTACGTGGAAATTGTAGGTACGTTATGTATTTGTTCGACAAAAAATACCGTACTCTATATCTATCGTACATTTAGACAGCAGGAATTAAAAAAAATTGTCATAAAAAGTTTCTACACATTAAGACATTTTTGCTTTTTTTTAAACGAAAGTAAAAATTAAATATGGACAATAGGAATTGGTCACAAGGGATATGGTCACATTCAATATTAATATTTTCAATTATTACTCGCATGAGATCATTTACTTTGTTGATATGAAAATATAATAATGTATTAACGTTATAAAAACATATATAGACTTTATATAAAGCTGTAAGGTATATAATTATCGTTTAGTAATTATATATTCGGCAGCGATAATTGTATAAGTTGACGACAACACGTGAATAAAAAGAGTAGTAGAATAGTCTTTTAACATAAATTTTAATATAGGTAACCTTAGTACGAACAACAAGGAGAGAAGATAAAGCAAAATATGATGACAGAGCAAAATTCCGAGCTATGTTTAAAATTTCAAGTACCTAACCAGTCCTGGTTATTTTTAAAAAGACTACAAAAATTCAAAATGAAACGGTTTTCGAACGAGCGAACGGGCACGCAAGAAAACGAGATAACGCCGCATTTCTACGTAACAGTCACACTGACAAAGAATCGACAAATAATCGAGTTTAAACCATCGCGATCAAAGTGAAAAATCCAGCGATGCGCTGTCCGTTTGGTCTAATTCCAGCGAGCGACTCCCCGCCGCCATTACCCTAGGTCACTGCTCGGGTATCCGACCACTTCCGAAGGGGGCCGAGTGCGGCCGAGCGCGGCATCCACCAGGGAACGCTGCAACGCAGCACGAGAGCCCACCATCCATAATTCCATATTCACGCTAATAAAAAACACCTTGATGTAACAGCTTCACGGACACCTCGCCTCCTAACGACAATTCTTGGCCCAAAGTTTTGCCGTGATCGGTACCGCCGCCATCTTTAAAAAATTACCTCCAAGCTCTTTTGGTTGCGTACGTAAAGTACTCGAAATATCCTTCTATCAAAAATGCCAAGTTGTTGTCGTTGATCGAAGGAAATATCGATAAAAAAAACTAAAATCACTCACAACAAATTATTTCTGGCTCGCAGGTTTTTGCTCCATGTGTTTGGTTCCAAATTTTACGTTATTTTGTTGTTATATCTCAAAAGAATGCTACAGAATGTGGTATCAGCGATACTTTAATGTTTTAAAACGTTTATCATTCACTTATTATTCTATTCTCACAGCCAAATCCTGTTGTAAACGATTTAAAAAATATGCTAAAGATCATGTCAATTTTATTTACCTTTAAGCATAAGAAGCTATGTTTCCACTAACCATTTCATCAAGTACAGACAAGGATAGATGCGTCTTCTAATTCATAAGCTATTAAACAAAGATGGAACAGCGCAACGAAATTCAATTTAAAACTTCTTCAGGGAGTAGAAATTATTCAAAAAATTTAACACAGATAAGTTTGCAGACATATCCATTACCGAATTAAGAGTTTCACGAAGTACGATAATTCAGAGACATTTCGACAATCGCTGTAATAGACCAAAAATAAAAAAAACATCAGTATTACTAAAGATGAATGGAGCATTCGCTTCAAACATTCCGATGAGGTCTTTCGTTCTTTTCTCTTTATAGTTCCACCGACCACTGATTCTATGATAGGTTCATCGCGTGTCAATTTATTTCAAATGATTCCTAACGGTACTGAAGAGTTCACTTACGGCCATCTCTGTTTTATACATTAGCATAGGTGACCGTGATGTTTTATATTCTTATGTAACTAAATTGATACACGACTCAATTAAATGTTAACCATTTTATTATTTCAAATTATTTTGATTAATTTCTTACCTTCATGAAATTATTGATTTCGATTTTCGTCTTAAGGCCTTCTAAAGAAAACAAAGAAAAACAATGGATTATCGGTTTTATGTGACTATAAACATATATATAAATGCGTATTATATAGACTAGAACATAACCATAACATAAAAATTATAACATTAGTCCAAGAAAAAGGTAACAGAAAGCTGACACGATCGATAGATGAGGTTTCACATCTGTGGTTTAAAGTAATATTCTGACATTGATAAAATTAATAGTCTCTTATAGCACTAGAAACATAAATTACCTAATGCATTACAGCCATGACTGTTTTGCTTATATATCCACATTTTCTTTCTCTTGCCTTTATCACACAAGTGGGGTACACAACAGGTGAATTCGTAGCTCACACAAATATTCGTCCCGTCTGGGAATCGATTCCGTGTCTCTCAAAGCCTACTGCACCACCGAGTAATCGTACTCCCTATATCTAAAAGTGCTTAAAGCAACATTCGTAGAGTACCTTATTACATGTGCAGTTGTTGCCGTGTTAATCTACTGAATGACTAAAAATAGCTACCGTAAGTACCCATTATCTACGGCGTCGTTTAATGTATTAAGGACCTTAAATAAAATTAATAACACATCGCACAAAACATGTCGTAATTTGACTGATAATAAACTGCAGCAATGGGTAGTTAGAGAGTTAACTCAGTCAACAAAAATGTAGTATAAATAATAGAAACATAATAAATCATTGCATACGAACTGTACTCAAAAATACTGTGTGTTACGAATTACTGAAAACTGCGGTTTTAAAAGTTTAGAAACGTTTTGGGGTCAACAGTCAAGACTGTCGCACAATAGTTAACTAACGGACTGTCGAGAAATGCGCTTGTAACTGTAAAATGGCGTTTTCGAATAGCCACTTCTAGCCTGTCTTTTACATTTTACCTATTTTCGCACTAACAGTATAAGAATGGACTCGCTAACTTTATGTCTAAATGGATTTTAATGGGAATTAGTACTGTTGGCAGCTGATTCACATGTCAGTTTTATCATGGATTGATACATAAACGTATTTTACGGTAATATTCAAAGGATGAATTATAAAGAACCAGATACATGGTAAAAGGTAAATGTGGTAAAAGATGTAAAAGGGTACATGAAAGGCTATCCACCATGAGTTTACCAGAGCTTAGTAATGTCTAATACGTGTCGCTTACACTTAACTTTTGCATAAACATGCTGAGTTAGTACTCCTGGAAATGACCATAGGTATGTTAATGCCGAACAGAGTGCTATTAACTAAGTGATAAATTCCAATATGTTATAAGTTAAATGGATTCTCGATACGATTGATTTAAGCGACTGCACATTTTATTAAAACAATTTGACAAGTTGAATTATGATTTTAAATCCTACACATAATGCAGAATTGCGCGTTAAGAAGAATTGTTCGACGTTCTATTGTCGCCTTTAAGGTTATTTTTGTGACGTATAGTTTTCTGTTAGCCCGGCGGCTTTGACAGCTTCGGCGAAAGGGTCGCCTTTAAAGTGCGATAACGCAAGTTAATTAAAAAGCTCATGGGAAATAAATGGTGAGCATTTGCGTCGGTGGATCTTTTTATAAGTTGGCAAGCGAGCAGGCGGTGCACCCGATGTTAAGTGGTTACCATTGACATTTGCAATACCCGTATGGTTGCAGTTATACCTTTTAATAACATGGACCTTGGTTGCCTCACTCAGATGAAACGCAGGAGTATAAACCTTCGACTTCACGTTGGTTTTCTGTGAGGTCGTGGTACTATCCCGGACGGATTTGCCTATTCTTGAATGAAGTGAAAGAAAATTAATGATTATAGATAAGTACATACGTTATAAATATACACAATCAAAGTTACTACGTTCTGCGTTATCTAATAAAAGCGTAAAAATTTAAAAAAAATATAAATTTTACTTAAAACCTTAACATCGAAAGTCTGGACCGGAGCATTACATTCTACAATTAAGTTAAATTAATTTAAATATTAAGATAATTTACTGGCGTTTTTATGGTAGAAGGTAGCAAGCCAAGGGTTGCAAATAGGCCTAACATACTGTAGAAAAAATAAGCCACGACTACGTCTATCACGATGAGAATGAGACGAAACTCAAAA